GCCGGCCTCAGTGCCTCCTTTTCACTAAATAAAGTTTTCCTTGATTTATTTTTTACTTTTAAATGCATTTGTGCACAGCACAGAGGCTGCGTGAGGAAACCCAGGCCGTTTGCTTTGCACCAGGCCCTCCCAGCCCATGCAAGCGCCAGGGGCTTCAGCAAGTTCCTCCACCCACTACCAATAATAACAATAATAATAAAGGCCCTAGCTTGGTGGCAGTTCCCAGGGAGCAGTGTCAGCTTTGCTAAGCTGTTTCCAGTGGTCTACACCCCTTTACAGCTATCGTAACCTTGCTGACACTCAATTTTACATATTTTCTTTTTAAGCTACCTTTCCCTTTTTATTTAGAAATTTTCCCACATACCTCACTTTTTACGTGATTGCTGCTGGCTGACTGATGAACACTCCAAGTAGTTTTCCTCTCTTTCTTTCAAGTTGGCGTGCTTGCACTGGGTGGGGAGGCCGCGGCTCAGCAGGGTTTCTAGGCAGTTCTACACATGCAGACAGCCCCACGGGGTTGACAGAGCCGGCTGAGCAGGAACGACAAAGGATGTTGAGTAGCACCAAAGTCCCTGTGTGGACGTCTCCGTTCTGTGGAGCAGTTAGCACCTGTACAAAGTTAGGGGCTTACCAATATGGAGAGAATCGCTTACCTACTCAGTTTAGCTAGCCACATATAAAAAATTTCATATGCCTAAAAACAAGGATTAAAGCATCTCACCAAAACTTTAGTATGCAACTCACAGAATCTTATGTTGGGAGTTCAGCTTTAAGCACATCTCAACAAGATGTGATGAGAGCCTTTTGGCAACCTGTACTGAAAACAGATACACAGGGAACTGGCAACTAAGTAAAACTTCGCATTCTTTAGCTAAACGTTGCAAACCAGAAACATTGTGATTATCATATTTCAAAGTCATCTTCTCATTTAGTTGACATAGCGTGTTTCATTGTGACCATTTTAAAGAGATTTATCTCTATTATCAATGAATGGGTAAGAATTGAAGAAAAAAAAGCTACATTAATCTCATTCCCATTCTGCTGAAAATGAAAGAACATCCCAGATGTGCTTATATATTACCTGTGGGATTGGGAGAGTGCGTTGTTTTGTTTTGGAAGCTACATTGCCCTGTTCTTGCTTATCCAGCGCAGTTTAATAGTTTCTTATTTGAAAAAAAGAGTTCATCTACTTCTGTTACTTGGCTTTGAGAAGAGTCTTTGGTCTTTAAGGAGGGAGTGTCTTCCTGTTTTTAAGAGTCTGTCTGCCAAAGAAAACACTGACAAGAACATCAAGGCTCCAGAGTAAATACTTTTGTGTTCATAGATGTTTTGAATGAACAAGATAATGTACTGTAAGAGTTTACAAGTTTTTAAGGGAAATTTATTTCTAAATGACTGCTGACACAATAGAATAGAAAGTTTAAATACAGCGTTTATTGCAATTTATACTTTCAAGTCCTACATTCAAGATGTATTAAAAGCATACAATATAACTGCATTATTTATATTTATACAGCATACATGAAAACTGTATCCAAAATACTTTCCAGAAAAATCACAGAAGAACACTTATCATGGTATAAACGATGGAAGTCATACAATTGACTTTTGCCATTTCTGGGGCCTACCTGTATGGCTTTTATTGATGGCTGCAGAAATTGTACTAATTTCTAATGTTATAGCACTTAATCCCAAATTGACAACATTTCTACTGGCATTTACAGGCTTTTCAGTTAGTTTTGTAAATACCTATGCTAACTGTCACTGCTGCTGATTTGACTGGTAAACTCCATATTCTCATATAACACACTCTTATGTAAATACTCTTCCTCTTTCCTTCATAGCTGTCACATTAAGAACACTAATCCAGTTTAATGATGTTCATCCAGCTCATTGCATATATATAAAAATATAGCATAGACTTCAGCCCCTATCTGGTTTAGAAAAAAATAGCATATTCCATCAAATAGTTAAGACAGATTTACACAGAAAAATTACAAGAAAGCTTCAAGGCTTTGCTGCAGTCTCTGCAATATTTTGAGCAGAGCATCGTTTTGCAAGTCTCAGAGTTAGGACAACTTGCACTATGTTCAGGCAAGATCCTCATGAATTTATTAAAAGCAGAATGAACGTCCTTTTGAAGTCTGCATCAAAACAGCATTTTCATATTTCATCCTGCTCTCTCCTGCCATTCACTAAGTACCTCACAATCAGCAAGTTCCATTTGCTCTATTTTGATCAAAGACAGACAGAGGGATAAAATATTTTTAGGTATTTAAACTTCAGTTAACATTCTTCACAATCACACATTTTAGCTTACCAATAAATTTAGCTTTTATCCATCCACCTTAAGTTTGATGGAAACTTTCAGAAACCACAGTCAAGAATTTACTCCCCCCAAATACAACTGGATTATTTTGGCACATAGGATGGTAAAAAGGATTATGTATGAGCTGAGGCTGTATCTCTAATTGACATCAGCATGGTCAACTGGGATTGGTCTTCAATTTCTCTCTCTTCGAAAGCAGGTTTGTCCTAATCTTTGCTGTTAGCAAACACTAGAGGGAGATAAGGTCACACCGGTAACAAGGTCTGCACCTGAAATCTGGGTTGCATCATTCCATCATCTTTTAAACTCATGAATATGCACTACCAATTTAAATGTTTTGCCATTTAGTTTCACTTCATCATCTCGATTGTTCATACTTAACCAGTATTTCAGAACCTTGTTGAGTGAACTCAGCCTCTCAAATCCACTCAAGTATCAAAACTTAATTCAAGGAAAAATACTCCAGGCAAGATTAGGACTAGACCTTCTCCACATCTCAGATGTTTCTGTGCTTTTGGTATTAGGTAGAAAAAAATTATTCTGTTTTGCATAATGAGAGGGCGCCTTCTCTGAAGGACTTTTTCTAGGCTGCAGAATTCCTTATTCCCAGAATTCCCTATTCCCAGGGACTTTCTCATCAAACCTTATCCCACTGTAAAAGCTTTGCACTTCTTCCCTGGGAGAAGCAAAAACAAACATGTGATAAAATTTTTGTTCACTAATGAGACAGTTGAGGGGTTTTCCTTGTTCTTTTGATATTTATGATATCTCAGTCCCTTGTTGCACCCAAAGTAAAACACATTTTCCTGTTAGTATTGACATATTTTAGAATTATTATTTTGAAGAAACATTCAGCAGATATTATTTGCAACTTTTATACCAGTGAAAATTACAGGCCTCTTTCAAACAGTAGATAATTTACCCTTTTGTTAATGGCTTTCACTGCAGTATTTCTCAAATTTTGTGCATAATACAACCCATAATGTTATATATGACTTCTTAGAAAGAATGAACATTTTAAGCTTTTAGGAATTGAACAGTTTGTAAGGAAAAAAAATAGCATATATATGAATTGATGATGATCTGATCATAAAGGCTAGGGAAGTTTGAGCTTCCTGCTTTATTCTGTTCATATTTTGATTACATCAAGCAAGTCATGTTCCTGCAAGGTATCTACACAGATCAAAACATCCTCCAGTCTATCCTCCAGTCCAGGCTTCTTTATTTAGTAGCACAGTTACAGGATAAGCAAAGTTCTCTAACAAATTCAGAAAAACATGAAATACTGCAAAAATTACTATTTTAAATACAACTCTATTGAGCTTGAATTTGAACAGGCAGTACTCAATTTAACAACTTGCATTGGACTGGAGACAAAGGCAGTCCATTTGTGCAACCCTCTGGCAAGGTGAATGCCTTCCAGGATCAACGTTCAGTGCAAGACCAACATTAGTTGTTTTTCTACAGCAGTAACTAATAAGAACAACAACAAAAAAAATACCCTTCACTCATGTTAACAGAATTACAAGGAGATGCTTATAATTTGAGATCACTAAAAGCGGGAGACCTAGCAGAATCTAGAAAATACCCGATATATTAAAATAAGGTCAGCATTAGAGGCAGTAATTCCTGATGGCATACATAGGTCAGGGATAACATTAAGTGTTTTGGAAGAAACAGTATTAAAAATCAAAATTGTTATTCAAATGAGAGAGGAAACTGCAATTGCTTTTGCGAAATTTTGTTTAGTGAGAATTCCTTCCTCCAAAAGGAACTTAAAATCTAAGTGACAGGGATTTTCCTGCATGATTACTATTGAATGCATCTTTCACTCACCCCATAACTGGTGAAGTACAAACCAGCTCATTCTAAAGTTGCTCTATGGCTTCCTGTTTGGGGCAAATATGATATTCACCTGCCTGTGCTGAGGGGATTCTTGGAGAGCAGCAGCAGTTGCATCCCTCACTCCCAGCAAAAGGACACGGGTCATTAGTGGGTCTCTTGCAGGTGACCGGAGCCACAGCTACAGCAGGTCTCTGTGACGGGGTGAGGAGCCCTTACGCTGTGTGTACGGACAAGAGGGGAGCTCCCAGATTAATGCCCGTTGCCAGGTACTTTCTGCTTCTAGTAGTAGTGAAAAAATATATTAGAGCTTCATTGTACAAATAGTATTACAACACAGTTGAAGGAAAAAAAATACTGTACAGCTATTCCTTCTTTACTAGCATTTGAAATGACACATTGCACTACACAGCTTCTCTGAAAGAAGCAATATTGACTGCTGTTTCATTCAATTTCTTCCATGTCCTCCTCACAGGTAATGTCAGTAATAACTTCAGATAGAAGTTACTAAGAAGCTGCTTTCAGGATAAATTAGCAAGATTCCATGCTGCTGTTCTTCTCTATGGCTTGATAAAAAATTATCTAACCAAGCCGCGAAGGTGCAAGATATTTGCTTATATTTAAAAAGCACACTGACTTGAATGCTCAGGATGTGCTGTTCTTGGTGCTGTACTCCAGGACTCTCTTGAATGGAGTGTATGTCCTCCCCGGCCTTGCACTTTCAGGAGATGTTCTGTCCTCAATATTTGCACTGCTAAGGAGACAAGAAAAAGCTTACACAGTTTAGTGCTAGAGTACTGGGCTGGATGTGCCACTGCAATACATTATTTTTATTGACAGGCTACTATTAAGTTCTTCAGCCTATTTGGTAAGTCGTCCCCCCCGTTTTTTTCCCCCCAAAACTGCATAATCTGCTTCAACAGTTTACTAATACCATACAATATACAATTTACAAATGTAGCACCAATAAAGGATACTGTGAAGAGGTTTGCTATGAACAAGTAGAAAAACTGAATACCTGAAAGGAAGATCACATCCTACACCAGTATCTCTGGTTTCTATATTGGTCTTTGGTTGGTTTTCCATTAAATAGTCCAATTTATCTTGCAATTCTTTATTCTGGAAAACAGTAATTTTCAACAATTTTTTTTTATTTAAATAATAATAATTATTACAGCAAATTGACTTTTTTCTCCATAATAAATAATGTAAAAAGATTTATTAAGAAAATAAGACTCTAATTTTGAGAAAAAAGATAAACCAACAGTCTTTGTTCAGAAGCCTCTACTTTAAGCGCTTACAATACTGTTATAAAATTGTACATTAAGAAAAGTAGCATGAATACTGAGCCTTTATATTACATACATTCTTTATGTGATCGATGTCATAAATTTCATTTCCATACTGAAGAAAAGTAAACACATGTAGTAAATATCCATCTGGATAACATTAGACAACATCAAATCCACCTTTAATGGGTTTCATAAAACAATCAAAATAACATAAACTTAAAAGGTAATATCTTACCTCACATTCTAAGAAAGAGATTTTTTCTAAAAGCTGTATTATAAATACTTCTTTTTCTTTTACTTTCTTCCTTAGCATTTCAATCTGTATAGAAAAACAAAATACGACTTTCAATCTAATGGCAATAGGAAGAGGGAAAAGACATAAATACTGTAGGAAGAAACAGGTTTAATTTCACTGTTTGGCCACTACTGAATACCTTTCACAAACTGCTTCAATCCATGGCTTCACTACCATCCCATATGATTAGAAGTGTATATATAAAGACCATACCTGCCTACTAACATGACTTCAAAGAATCCGTATTTCTCTGGAAACAAAATCTCAAATGCAATCATATGACAAACTGAACTAAGGAAAATGCCAGGCCTTTACTGGCATTTACTCTTGTCCCAAAAATATACATTTCGCATGTGCTAGTTTCTTGGAGGTCTTGTTTAATTTTTTTCCTGCTATACTAGACATTCATCAAAAAAAAAAGTTTTATACTTCATGGAGACAGAAGAGGTTATTTACAGGTGAACATGAAAAATAAAGTATGGTTAGTTGTGTCAAAAATATTGTGGCTGCCCCACATTGTCCCAAGAAACCTCTTGACTAGCAGAAGTCTGTTCCTTTCAGGTGACCCCACTGAGAAGACAATAGTAAATAACATGCAAACAGATTGAAATTTCTCCTTGGATCAAAGAAAATCATTTGTTATTCTCTCTCAACTCCTGCTGACCACAACTACTAAAAAAATGGGTCATTAAAAGAGCAAACCAAAATAATAGCTAAGCAGAAATTCAGATGTTACTGCTTCTCCTCGAGGAGATTCAGGTTAATATCTGTGCAGAGGATATTCAGGAGTGCCCTGAAAGATCAGATCTGAAAGTCTGAAGAGAAGAGGGATCCTGCCCCTTGTTTGCATGTGAGGAGGAGCAGGGAGAATTGGATCTGGTGCCGCCCCCTGGACTCGGGCAAGGTTTGTCCCATAACAACAGCAATGACAGCCGGGAATGGTGCATGGTCATTTTGCTCTCCATGTCAAGTGGTGTCTAGTTAGTGTTTTTTTTTCCAGCTGTATTTCAATCCACCTTCCTTGAACAAACCATTCAAAGTCAGAAGATTTGAAGGACTATTTGAAGTAATATTTGTAATATTCTGTTCTCCTCCTGGGCATGCGAGGAAGAAAGATGAACACTATATTATGCCAAAAGCGTTAAGCCTACCACAGGCTTAATGCGGATGACACAAAGGATTTGAATAGACATCATGTTATGCCATTAGTGTGGGGAAGACCAGATATGATCAAACCTGATCCGATTACCTTTCAGAGGAACATGACACTTACAGGAAAGCAGGCACAACAGGAATAAGTTGGTGGATTATATTTCATTTATTATATTAAATGAAATTAAACCTTAATTCAGTACATTTGCCTAAGTTACACTGCATAAAGTAAAAGTGCAATGGTTTTCTTTGGGAAACGAATACAACAAGAACACTGGTTTGCAAAGCTCATAAAGCACTTCAAAATGAAATTAATTCAAAAAGGCAAAATAATCTAAAATAATAATATTTACAGAACCACATACACGCATATTGCACAAATCCAGGTTTGGAGAGGGTCTTTGTTCCAAGCAGTTGCATAAAGTGCAAGAACAAAGCAGTTGGTTGAAGTGCTCTGTTTTGACTGAACACAAGGTAAAGAAAAAGAGAAGCAAAGCAAGTGAAATACAATAATGAGATGAAGGCCTGAGTGGTAGCCAGAGCAGTCTAGTGTCACACACAAAAATATGACCCAGAGAATCAAATTCCTTGGACTGACTTGCAGATCTGAATCACTTCTGGACTCACTCCAAGCCAAAATTATCACCAGGATGTTCTGACATTTTCTCTGGGCAAAGCCTGAGCCCTATAAACCACCTCAGCCTCGTTGTGTCTGCAGACTTTAGCACTTCATGTTGCTGCTGACTCAAAAACTTGCTCCCAAATCTGGCTTTTGTGTGATTACCCTCTCAGATTTCTTCATCACTTTTTCTGAGCATTATTTAGGCATATTCTTCAAATTCTTCTCTTCCAAGCTGCCCTACAAGGGCCCAGACAGTGTTTCCCTAGCACTGGTCTCTTCTCCTGCCTTGTGTTTTTGGAATCACGAGCTCTTGCTTTTCCTCCAAGCTTCTACCAGCTCTTTGACAATCTTTCCATGCACATTAGGCAGTCAAACAAAACTGGCAACCTACTCAGCAATATGATAGACGTAATGGCCCACTCATTCCTTTGAGGACAGCTTCCCTGACAAAAGCACTTGAATTTAGCAATCCTGGGCCACATCATCACCCTTCTTCCAGACACGGCATTCTTTTGCCTCCCCAACCTTGCCATATTCTCCACTCTGAGCTAATGCTCCTGTATTTCACCCTTCTGTTGGAGGGCAGGTGAATATTCCAGAATCTGGGTGGGAAGAGCAGCACGGCCCAGTTGTCACTTGTTTGGTCTGTCAATGACCAAAAGTCATCACATGCCCTTTGGCATCTAAGAAGAACAGTCAAGAAGAGAACGCTAGATAAGCGAATAGAGATAGTAGGAGGGAAATTAAGACAATTACAAAGTAATTACAACAAAAAGAAATACATTTTTAAAAGAAAATGGAAGTTGTGCCCAACTGCAGATCTTTCATAAGGAAAATGAAACAGCAAGCATTATTTTATTCTATCTGTGACTCAGTCGTGGTAATGGAGGCTTGAAAAACACATTGACCCATTGAATTGGAACAGATCCAGCTGCTACATAAACTCAGCCAGCATTTACCCCTTGACGGTATCATTCATTAATTTAAAATATTTATCAGAACATGATGCAATATTATATATTGTTCAAGTATTGTGCATTTTCCTTATACATTGATCACTAATGCATCCGGCATCTGTAACACTGTTACACAGATATGAACAAACTGGTCATAAATATGACTAAACACAGGATGAACACTTATTACATTATACAAAACAAGACTGACAAGACATTACAACATCAGCCTGAACTCTCAGACACAGCTACTGAACAAGGAAAAGAAAATTTGACTTCACAGAGTCCACTATTTCATTGGACCTTAGGTGGTACTTATCAGAGTCTAGACAACAGCTTGAATTTTTTCCTAGTATATAATAAAATAGGTAGGAGTGAGCATCTTTTCCTTTTAATCCCAGATGAACTTCTTCAATCACCCTTTACTACTTTTGTTCTAGCATTTTAAAATTCCTATCACATATAAAGAAAAATGACAACTTAGTAACTGATTTACATTAATGCACTAACTAAAGAGGGCTTCCTAAGCTAGCGAGCCATATGAATAGATTACACTGGTCTTTGATGTGCGTCTGTTGCTAAATCAGACCCATAGGGCCTAGATGTCCTAATGGGTTATAAACATCTGCACATTGGCTAACAGTTCAACCCACCTTATTAAGAACTACCTTACTAATATGTGAGTCTTCTAATTACAGACTTGGCCAGGAAATCCCCAGCTGAGAAAGCTAATGCTATCCATGTAGAAACACTGCCCCCAAACACCAGCAGCAATTCTATTTTTGCCATAGATAAGCAATGCATTGCATTGCCCAAGTCCACCATGGAATCCAAACGTGACAGTTTTTTGGGAGGGAGTGTGTGGGTGGTATTTATGTGCTGCCATTTATCTTTGGCATCTCTCTGTCACTGGTATTTCCATCTTCTCATCTTCTCTATTTCTGTGTGGCTTCTTTTATTTGAACTAAAATGGAAACTGTGCGTCCATCTCAAGAATCGGATATATTGCAATGCATCTGGAGTTGGAGCATCTTGACAACTGCTTAAGTTGGTTAATTGGTTAAGTTATCAACTGGTTAATTTTTTTTGGTTAATTTTTTTCTTCTTTAATCCCCATTTGTGCAGCACAAAGGATCTTCTGTATTTGGAATACCATTTGCTCGTTAGCAGGCAATATATAAACTTTCCAGCAAGTGTCTTCTGCACAACAGGATACAGCTTCTCTGGTTTTTGGTCATCATTTATTATCCAAAGTATCTGAGACTAAAGGTGGAGAACAGCTCATGGGCCATGACCTAGAGACAGTTCAATTCAGTAGTTAGGGGAATTTCAGGTGAAATCCGAGTTCTGTAAATAATTTCTTGCCATGAAATCAAATATGCTTTCCCCCTTTCAGTCCATTTCTGAACAGCTCCTTATATCTGCATCTACTCACTAGCCTTGCTTGTAAGTGTAAATGTTTGTTTTCTTCCCTCTCCTGCTTCTTAGCAGTGAAACACTATTGCATATAAACTTTATGTACCGTGAAAATGCAATCCCTTTCAACTGAAAACTCCATTTCAGAAGTAAAGCTCTATTAAATCTCTCCAGGTTTGGAATGGAGATCAAGTCAGGAAATATTTTTGTTGTTGCTGATTTAAGGTTTTATATTTCTTCTGAAGATTTTTAGCTTACACTAAACTGTGTCCCCTCTCCTACATGGGTATAGATAAACAGTTTGACCATATGGAATTGATAAAAGAGCAAGCTTTCACTCATTTACCTGAACAACAACTTCAGCCATCGCAGTAGTTTCCCACAGCCTCTATGTTTGCATCTGCCCAGCCTTGGTGGAAGCCTCCTGGGTGCTTCCACCTTTCACCCTGGGAGCCCCTGTCATTGCCCAGCTGTACTTTAAGACGGCTACGCAGGAAAGCTCCTGTTCAGTTTATGATTAGTCTGCCTACGCCAAGTTGAAAAGGGTTCTATCCAAGCCTGAGGGGGAAGGATTTATATTTCAGAGAAAAATTTAGAAGGAAATGATTTATTGGCTTAGGAGCATAAATACTCTCAACTGTGAGGTCCTTCCACAATTAGGTTGATTCCACTCAAGGCAGATGGCAACTCTATTGCCTTTAATGCCAACAATACTTTGAAGGTGGCTCTTTTCCTCTGTATCCGTCTACATTTGGTGCTCTCTGCCAGCTTCCCCTTTCAGCACACTGAAACGCACACTCGCACACAGTTAGGGCTGACCACAGCCTTCTAACTTATTTTTAAATGCCATCAAAAACAGCAATGGAAGTGTTAGTGCACCACAAGGCTCCCCTGAAAAGCATCTTTCTCAGTTCCTTCTGACTGCTTGCTTTCCCTCCAAAACAGCCCAATGAGCAATCTGCCTTGCAAATTTTCAACCACAAAACTCTTCTCTGTAATTCTCCATCTTTGAGAGTTCGCTATAGGAGCCTGAAGCAGCGTATCACGTTTGTTCAGCAGCCCTGTCAAACGGGGTTCATTTCTGTTGCTGTGCCTTGTTTCAACTGGAAAACATAAACCTGTCCAAGTTTATTCTGAAGGAATAAACTCCCATTTACAATTCAAATCTGTATCTGAATATACTAAGATGAATAAAGTCCTATCGCTCCCACCTGGTTCATCCAGTGTGTTTTGGTTCAGCTTCCGACAAAAACAAATGCTGATAATTTTGACTATTTACTTTCTTTCCACTATTGTTGAGGGTTTTTCCAGGTTAGCCTGTTCTCAGTGTATTCTCATGTCACAAGGAAGGTACCAGATATTGTTGCAGTAATGAGTAACTTTCTAGATATTCCTGGCCATTACAAGTTAAATTTAATGCAGGAAGATACAAGAGCAAATATACTATGAAAAAAAACACTTTTCTGGAATTTAAATGGCAGCACAATTCCAAATTTTTCCCTAATTACTATGTAAAATATATTTTAGTGCTACTGCTCATGAGTTTTTATTTTTCCTCCAAAACAGTGCCTCCAGAACACATTCCCTTTCAACATCCCAGTTTTTAAGAAGTACTTTTTGCTGTACTCTCTGCAGCTGTGGCATAGTAAGCAATGCTGAAAGTCAGCCTAAGAATTCTGTTCAAATATTTACTTGCAGAAGAGGCACAAAAGCGTGACAAATACCGTGCGTGGATAGCTCAGGGATTTAAAGGGATGCCCATCTGAAATGCTCTACCTTCTGCATGGTGGGCAGCTGCTCTGTTTTGTAACCAGAAAGAGCTTCTATTTGTAGGCTTTTTATTAAACAGCTCAGTTCAAAGTAGAGCACACGAGCAACACTGTAGAAATTTTGTGAAAGAGTGCTATAAACACCATGGATAGCACAAGATAAAAACAAACAAGCAAACAAACACAACCACAAAGAGCTTAATGTTGTCACTGTCTAACCTGATCAAACCTGGGCTACAGAAACTGGCTCACTAACGAAGACATAAGTATTGTGGCAGGTGTACATGTAACTCTTAAGGAAATTGATTAAAAAGAAAAAGCTAAAATATGAAGAACTAAAAGAGAAAAATATAGCCCCTATGACCACACAGCAATAAAAGATTTCTACACAGACTGAATCGATATTGAAAATCAGCTAAAACAAACATCAAACAAACATCAGCTAAAAGCAAACATACTTGGAAGTTTAGAGGGGTAGTCATCTCACATTCTACTTATTAAAATGTCTGAAAAGGTTTGTTGTGCAGATGAAGGAATTAATATACCTATATTACAAGGAATCAGCAAGGTAAACTGACTTATTATGACTGATATTTATGAAATAAAAATATTTGATCCCATCCTTATGCATGCTTTTGCCAGAACACTTGGAACTGATGGAACCGATGGAACTAAAAGTATTTGTTATACCAACTCTGCCCACTAGAGGTCAAGTTATACTGAGCCATTTACTATGCACTTGGCAATAAAGAACAAAATTTAGGCCATGGTGCTCATTAATTAACAGAATCACTACATTTGCCACAGATAGCACACTGACAAGTCTTCTAGTACTTTCAGTATGATAAAAGGGATCCCATAAAACAATAGTTGGCTTATGAGGACATGAAACAGCCTGTGGATAAATATTTATTCCAGTAAACTACTGCTTAAAAGAATGGATTATTAGATTGGAGAAGGATTCCTTAGTAGACTATAGGCTAGGTATAAAGATTGTCAGCCCAATTTTAGACTACCTGCCATGTTGCTTGAAAATTGTGAAAATGGCAAGCTGGACTAGAAACAAAACCTTAAGTCTTGATGTCAATTTTCTGGATATGGAAAAAATAAGAAGTTTAACACAAAGTGATAAATGCTTTTAAGTTACTTTTGCATCCCACTTCCTTCCCTGCTCAGCTTTGCATCCCTCTGCATGTAAGACAGGATTCCTCAGTATCACATATGCAACTATACAGAAGGATTGTACATCAGAAACTTATAACCAATTTACAGCAGGATACATATAGGCAAAAATTATTATACCGCTTCAACAAAAATGGAAAAAGTCCATGTCGAATCTGAAACACTATGACAGCAAATCATTAAACACAAATATATTATGAATTGAGAAGGAATGCCTTAGATTATAACCAATTCCAAATATTTGGTATTGTGGACATTTGATAAGCAGACACAAATGAAACTCATTCCCACTCCCAAAGGTCTGTTACTAATGTCGACCATCACTGCAATCTCAGTATAATTGTGATGTCCATCTACTTTGTGAAGCTCTAAATGTAAACTTAATCTACCTATTTCCCCACTATTTCTCTGGAAACAGAAGAGTTGGCAATCACAGCCCTCTCCTGACTGCTGGAACAATTCCTTGGCATACATGTGGCTAGCAAGTTGAAGCAACTTTTCAGAGGAAAACTGCTTAAAAAATTATGGCAAATTGTATCAGAAAAGCACAATTGGTGAAAAAAGTGCTTCTGCACCTCTGTTTCTGTGAGGACATGGAAAAAAAATGCAGCAAATGTCTGAAATGGAAATATTTTTGTACAGGAAGGAAATAAATTTATTTTACTTCCCACTTCCTCCCCTAATAACCAGTCTGCATTATTTCTTGAGTTACCGCTAAATGTTTCAAATAAAGTTGTATTTCCTGAACTACCATAAAGAGCTCCAGTATTAGAGATCATAATACAAAACCTAAAATAGTGGTTACATATACAGGAATAAATTGCTTTCACCTAGTGAAGCAGAACTCCTGCTCAACTCATTTTTCTATTACTTCTTGTAACTATGGAGTCATCCAGAAGTCGCATACATCTCTCTCTGGGTTACATACTGAGAGAATGAGCATCCCCTAAAGACTCAAAACACACTGCTTTACAAGATCTCACCTCCTCAACCATGTGCTTGACTTTCTTCTGTTGGCAGTGAACCATATCATCCAGATGCTTGATTCGCTCTCGCAGGCTAGCTGCTACCTCCTCCAGATGCTGTGACCTGGCAGAAGATGAAAAAAATTAGGCAAATTAAGTGGGGAGCTATGTAGTCCAAGGAAAACAAGCACAACCCCTACTATCTCACGATGAATCAGGAAGACTAGGTCAAGAAGTATCTTACTAACAAGTCCAATGCCATTATCAGATGTCACTTTTATTTGTCTAAAGTACATTTTAATGGCAATCTTTCAGTCAAAGTGGCTGTCTCCACCCAGGTTAGCTCACCTTTGTCTTGCATACTGGCTCGCTTACTCACAGCCTGAAGTGCTGACAATTAAACAACATTAAACAATGTGAAAAGCTCATCTCTTTGAGAAGTCTGTTTTTCCTTGAAGTGAAAGGCATTTAGACAAGTAGATTTCTATCACTAGAAAGGCATACTGGTCCTGACCTATGACTGCCTGCAAACTTTTGGGGAAATACATACTAAATAATCATGAAGCACATCTGCTGGTGTCCTTTTAAGTGCTTTCCAACTACAGAGCAGTCTTGGGGTTTGGCATAGTTGCCAATAGCAGCAAAACACTAACTGGAATAGTATTAACTCATCAACAGTCTACGGTAATTGCTCTGAATATTTTAAGTTTGCATGTGTGAATCTGTAGATAGATCTTGGATTTCTTCAAATCCACTTTTCACAGAGGTTGAACACCCACAGGATTCCTGCCACAGGCTGATTTGGCAGCTTGCCGCAAAAGTAGTTTTAGAATATGCAAGAGAACATAAGGAAAGGCTTTTAATCAGTTTTTGGCACATTGGCCATGGGAGCCTGCACTTTTATCTGAATGTACAATTCCTGAAATCATGGAAAGAAAGCAGTCTCTTGCCTGCAAAATAAACTCCCGTACTCCTAGGTCCTAGTCTGAACAGAATTTGAGAAGTGGAGGAGGGGAATCAGAAACAAAAAAGCTTTTTCATCTTGCTCTGTGAACAGCAGATGAAAGTGCTGAAGTTGCAAACAGAACAACCATTTTAAGGCAAAGCAGCAGATGGCAAACTGTATGACACAATTCTAATGAACGACTGAATTGTACACGGTTCCCCCCCACCCCAAGAAAGGGTCCCTATTAACAGTGAAGTACTCTACAGAACTGTAACTGCAGCACTTTGGCAAGGTCTTTGATTCAAAATAAAGACATTGCTGTAGGTTTTTCCATCCTGCATAACACTGCCTTGCAAGACCACAATTTGTATTTTGCTTACAACTGTTACATATATTTGGTTTCTCATTCAAATATGCAGAATTGCATCTGGTAGCAATGGAGCAACAGACCAGAGATTCATCCTCTCTGGGGAATCAGACAGACAGTCAGGGGCCAAGGAGCAGACAGGTAACCAAGGAATAGACTTCAGCATCGGAATCCCAACTGCCTGCTTGCCTCGCATGGGTGGCAACTGCCTGTTTGTTTGCTTGCTCTGCGTGGATGCCTGCCTGAGCACTGCACCTGCCGTTTGTACTGCAGCAAACCTTCCACGCTGAGTAGCCAGGGCAGGCTTCAGTGAAGTGAGAAGAGCACCTGTTACCCAAAGGTGAAGGAAGAAGGCAATTATCTTACATCTCCATGCTCTGTTATGCGCAACATCTGTACACTCGAGGTTGTTATTTTAACTGGCTGATGTGAAAAGCTGTTATTACCCTCAAACTGGCTGAGCTAGTCATAGACTCATACAATTAGGCCTGGAGATGCTAAGGGCAGGAACTTCCTTTAATCCATATACTTCATGAAACAGCAGGATGCCAAAATCTTAGAAATGAGTTTCTGGGTGCCGCAGAAATATAATTAGTAAGCAAGAAGGATTATTCAGTGTCTGCTTATAATTAATCTTTATCCACACAAGTAATGCCATATAATAAGCCTTTTCCAATTGCAATTGCAGTTGTTACTACTTCAATGCTAGGTAAGTTGCTCTTGAAACTTAATCTGCCTTTGCCTCAGCTTGAAACTTGTCTTTGCCTGGTCATGGTGGTTTGCCAGTCTCAAAGAAGTAGCAATAGATGCATCTGTCATTGGCGTGCCCCATGGTGTCTCCGGGCTCCACCAGGCCATTAGATTTTCTATGCCTCGTGCTTTCCACAACAGCCATTTGCAGAAATCTAACTGCCAAGAGAGTCGCCCTCACCTGCCCCAAACAGCTGCACAATATTTTTGCACTGTAACGCCAGATTCTTTCATGCCTTCACATTCATGTGTATAAGTCAACGTCTGCCGTGTTTGTGGACCTCCCTCTCCGAGCCATGTCTTGAAGTGCTCTCTGCATGCACTGCTAAGCCTCAAATATTTCTCTGCTAGTCATTTTTTCATACAGAAAAGATTTCTAGTAGTTTCATTTAAAACTCCTCCACTCTTCAGTAGTTTCTCTCTTTGAAGGGGAAGTCCTACAGCTTAATACAGGATCTCTTTTCTTTTAAAGATATGTTGAACAGTCTAGAACAAAATAACCAAAGTATTCAAAGGCAGGATCATACTGTACCAAATTTGGGAACTCAAGATTTAAGAAAAATGCAATTCACAAATATGTCAAAGATAAAAGGATATATATTAATTTCTAAAGTTTATCTCATAGAGACAGAACAAGTTCTATCAAGAATGTATTCTACATGTTTTCAATTAGTTTTTCAGAAAAAGGCATGGAGGTTATTTATAAACAAAATACCAAGAGGATTTTTGCAATAACAACAATTAAAAATAATAATTTAAGATTATATTCAGCTGGACAATTCTTATTAAATTACAATTTTAAGGTTAGTAAATCTTAAAGTCTCCTAGCAATGCTAGAAACTCCAGAAATAAGGCAGATCTTACCTCTCACTGTCCAAGTTAGTTTCAGATTTTGCTCCAGATATTTGCATTTCATTTAGTTCCAGTTGTTTTTGCAGCTGGTGACGCTCCTAAACAACAAGAAAGGCTATCCTTCAGTTCTCCCCGTGTTAAAATGCAAAGGCTTAACTAACCACATTTCACAGGAATCATGCAATTCAAAAGATCACTTGTAAAATTAAAATAGAAACTAATTAAATAAAATTTACAGATGCTACCTATGAACTCTGCATTTCCTATATCCCAGAAGAAGAGAATACAAATAATAAAATCAATTTCCCAACTAAATATGAAAATAAGATCACTATTTTCAATTTCCCACTTGAAGACATACAGTTGCTCTTGAAACTTAATTTTTCATATAAAGACCTGAGTCATCACCATCCTTAATTACACAAGTGTCAAGTTGCCCATGTTATTCCTCCCAAAAGATCTCTAAATTCAAGACAGAAATAAAATTCACTACTCTATTTTTTCCCCAAAATACCCTTATTTATTTTTAGGTATCCACCAGCACTTTGCTTGTAAAGATCTATGAGCATTTGGGGACTGACTCAACACAAATTAACAGGAGTCTGCTATTCACTTTAATCGGAATTTAATGGAGGCATTCAATTTTACTCTGCAAGTATTAGCTAGATACCAGCAAATTAAACAACAAACGTGAAGAAGCTCATCTGCACCTTCAGAACTATACTGCAATCCTTTACTCACTGCAACGTCACAGAATCACAAAACACAAGTTGTGGGCTGAAGCCCAGATGAGGTTGATGGAGCCACTAGAGGGGCACATTAAGCTACCTTGATTCCTCAGGGTTATCACTAATTAGTTTAATATAGTGAGTATTTGATGTTACTGAGAAATAGATTTTTACAAGGCAGAATTGACTGATTAGTCCAGTGTACATTTGTTTGAGCCTCTTTTGTCCAATTAATGCAACTCTATTAACTGAAAGTTGATTAAAAACACTTAACATGGGAGAAAAGAGTACTGTAGTCTCTCCACTTACTAGAATTTCCCAGTATGGCCTTTACTTATGAAGATAGCAAGGCCCAGATCTTTAAAGACAATGAGATGCCTGCTATTGAATTAAATGACAGACACCAAAGCACATCTAAGAGTACTAGAGTCTTTTAGAAGGACCAATCTTATCCCTTTCAGAGTGAAACTATTCAGTCTAAGGACTAAACAATAACTTTCATTCTCAGTTAGGTGAATGACTCCAGAAAATGAAGAGGAAATTTCACTGTAACTGTTAGATACAGGGGATGTAAACCCGTTTCAGATATCTGAGAATATCCAACAAATGAGGTTCGGATAATAAAGTATACCATGGGAAAAGAGGTATTGTGATACTCTGTGGCTTAACAATACCTTAAACAATCATCTCCTGAAAAGCAGTGTGAGTTTTGCCCTGAAGCAAAGTCCATAAGAGAGAAGAAAGGTAGGGCAGCAAATGAAAAGAAGTGTCTGCTACAACTAGTTTTACAGTAGTGCTGCCAATATCACAAGAAAAGTGTCTCAAAACATTTATAGTTTCAGAGGTTTAAAAGTCAATTGTAAAAAACTGCTCTCAACTACAGTTTGCTAGAGAACATTTAGCCAGGAAGAGAAATAACTGTAATTGTTTTAATACTGTCAGGAAAGGAAGTACCTGGAGTTTGGATTAAAAGGCAGTAAAAACTGGCTTTTAATTGGGTTTTTCCGCCCTTCCCCAAGTATCCATCCCAAAATACTCCCCTTTCCAAAATACCAGTAAGGTATCTGCATGGAGGACTAAAAGCCTACTACAAGCCACTGCTACAAGCCAAAAATCTGAATTCAAAATTTCAAAACCTTGCGGTCTGAAGCTATCACTTTATTCTTTCATCCAAATATACGGAAATTTGGGGGTGCAATTCTAAGTATGTAGCTATGGATAGCTAAATAATAGGGTAGATTCCTAATTTAAATGTATTTTAGTGGAACTACCAACAGCACTTCTGAAACTTTGGGTCATTTATGGTGACTAGTTCATTTAGCTCAGAATATCTTGTAGACTGAAGGAGGGCAGAACTGCCTTTTAAAACTCATTCTATAAAATGATGGTTTACTAAAGTCCCAACACCTTAAGCAAACCTGACTGTTAACACCACAAGACAGACAGAAGAACCACTTAATCACAGTGTCTCTTTGATAGTCCAGGTGCATATACTGATATGAATACAGCAACTAACAACACAAGCACAGGTGCACACTCAAATTCCTTCCATGTACTTCTGCATTTCCTTTAAAACAAGCAAATAACTAACTCTGATACCTCTTCCATACGTTCAATCAGCCGATCCAGCTCACCAATTCTCTGGTCTTTCTCCTGGATGCTCGTTTCTGTAATCTGCATCTTCTTATTTGCCTCTTCAATGGCCTTTAGAAGTCGATTTGTTTCCTCCTTCAAAGAAGGACATTTACAGCCATGTTAACATACAACATATAACCGTGAGAGAAAATTTTTTAGACCACAGAGTCAGGCAAATAGTTTTGAAGCAGAATTCATAAAACTTTTCACTTCTCAGCGAACAGTATCAAATATTCTATAGAATATAAAAGATTTTTGGCATTTTGAAGTGCCTAGGTACTTGCTAGGCATGATTATGAAAGTTTGAGAAAAATGTTTAGATATTTTTTGGTTATTTTTTCTCCCTTCTGAGGACACATGCAAAGTAACAGATAGAAAAAAAATGATATTCCAGAAAATATTACTTTAAACACCAAATTTTGCCAAATTCAGCTCTGTACTTTTCCCACATGTAAGACAATATGAATAAAAAGAGGCAAGAGAATCTGCCTTCAGTGTCAGTGGTTATCTATTTTTATCCATCAGTTAGAAAAACACAACTGTGAACAGAAAGGTTTTATGTGTGGTGGGATGAGGTGGGGAGGAAGATTCCTTGCCCAATAGCATCTGTGCAGGCTACCTTCTTCCGTTCCTAAACTATCACTAAAATCACACATTATATTTTAGAATTACTGAGAATTAGAAGCAAAAATCAATTAACAATTTCAGATTTTGAAATTTACATCATCATTACTCTGATTGTGTTTTAACACCTTCTTTTCTTGGTCCTAGTTCTCCAATGACTTGCAAAGCTCAGTAAGGGCAGCAAGACAAGGCACAGAGATTGCAGAGAGGAAACTTTTGTCCATTCTCGAGCACTAGGCTATTGAGAAATGACACCCAAGCTGAGCACCACTCTTACAGACAAGGGTGTACATACTAGAAGGATTTCTTTCTCAGCTTTATGCTTCTTCTCCTCTTCTCGCATTTTTTCCTCATACTGACTATACAGTTTTCTTGTCATTTCTCTCATGACTTCAGCATTGGCTTCTTGCGATGATTCTACCTATGAGAAGGAGTAGAGGGAAAATCACAGTTGATCAATGAATCACTAGAGCATTGCTGGCATGAAGAGAAAGGAGCTCACATAATGTGAGACTTGAACTTCTCTCCTACCTTGCTGTAAACGTCACGCTTCTGCAGCACATGTTCATTTACATCCAGACCATTTAAAAAATCCTGCAGTCTATTTTAAAAATTCCTCCAGTCTAGAAGTCATTCAAATCTGTGCAAGGCACAGTTACATCAAGTTTCAGGTTGCCTGAATTTAACTGGCCAGGACCAGGCCACCCCCTGCAGTCAGGGCTTTCATAACAGCTTCCCAATTACCCCATTTGCTCCCCATTGAAAAATAAAGTCTCATATTACAGAGGTGTTTCCAAAAGACTATGAACTCTCCAAGTGATGCTTACTTTAGACTGAGCCTAAGTATGGGTTGCAGACTGTGAGGAACTGTTGCACCCTCCCACCTCCCTCTAGCTTTCTTCTGCAGTGCTGTGCGTCCTGGCACAAGAACAACGGTGACAATGAAGCGAACTAGATTAGGGAACAGCTGAAAACCAATATACCCACAGGGGGAGGGTTAATATTTAATCACAGAACCAGAAACACTACTACTGGCACAGGGAAGAGGGTAGGAACAGTTGCTATTCAGAGGCAGGATTTCCCCTTATGCTGATTCAAAACGCTCGCTCCAACCCCACCCATGGTGATTTAGCACTAGGCAGGACGTTCAAAGCTTAAGCCCATCTGCACTGTAAACTGCAATAAAAACAAAGCAAATCACCATAGCCATAACATAGTTTTTATATTTAAAACGCTGTTAATCGGACAAGGCTATAGCGACCTGCACAGCAGTGGCAGGGAGAGAAGGAACACACTTATCTGGCAGAAGATCACTGTGTTCCCTGACTGAACCTGTATTGATCAAAGCCATGAAATACCTGGGTTTGATTATTGAGCTTTTAAATTTAAAGGACTGAAAGATTTATTGAACTTTTGCATCTATTTTGTCCATCTGTTTTACTGCCCCATAGGATAACAACAGGGAATGACATCCTAAGAAAATGGACGGAGCTCTGAGAGGCTCCACGTGTACAGCTACCACCCCCTCTAGCATCTACCTGCCCCAGTGTGGTGGTAGCACCTTGCACCTTGTGAGCAGCACTGGAGTTGGTTTAAGTTTCACTTGAACATGAAACCACCACTGTTACATGGAGCCTCAAAGAATCACATCATTCAGAAAAGGACAACAATTCAGCCCTAGAGCCCTTAAGATACACTGAACAGGAATATTATCCCTGGTGTTGTGAATCCATCACTTCTTTGCTTATAGTTTGAGTGATGAGGAAAGTGAAAACAAGCCTAAAATGAAAGACGCAGTAGGTCGGCTTTTACAATATTCCTAACCAAACTCTCCAACCTCAGCTCTTCTGCACTTCTATGAACAAATCAAACCTAATAAATAAGAAGCATGGGTGCAGTTCTCCTACCCAGGAAATAATCAGGACAGATGGTAGTTAGTGCTTTTCCACTACTAACCCCCTATGCTCCATATTGGTGTCTCACGTCCTCCAATAGAATTAAATCCCAGGTGTGACAGGACATAAAATTTCATGTTTAACTTTTGAAGACAACAGCAAGGTATTTTATCCACTATCTCTGTAATAAAACTCCAGTGTTGATGGCCAAATTTAAACCTCTTCCTCCCTCCTTCCATGCCCACATTCTGCTGACCTCAGAGTGCCGAGGCACATCCCTAAGTGCTCAGCTGAGTTTGGACTGAGCTGCTACTGTCTGCCCTTAGAAGCATGCATACCTGTCCCTGACTTGTTGCTGCACGTCCTCAAGATTACTGTAAATTCCAAATTTCTGTTTTGAAATCTAAATAGCATCAGCTCAGGTTTCTTCCTTTAATTGGCTTTTCCTTCTTTTTGTTTTTGTTTCCGGCTGACAGAATCAGGTACAAAATGTAGGTACCTCCACAACCTCTAAGGCTTTACCAGGAAAGGAAATTAGCATATGTACTGTAACTTGGAATACTCTTCTGTTGGTGTTGTCTCATTTAACCACTCATTATTAAGCATGACTATAAGTCACTGGAGAGCTGAAAAGAAACCTGTTCTAAGAAAATTAGAAATGAGTAAAGTAGTAATCACAGTGACAAACGCTCACTAACTACTATCTCCAAAATATGCTATTTTGAGTAGTTTCAATAGAGTAATAATCTTGATTTCCAGATGAGTTTTTTTTTTCCTTCTTTTTTCTTTTCAATTAGATTAAACAAATAAATTTCTCAGGAAGGGAGAAGAAAAATGGTTAAAATTTTCTGGCATGGAAGACCTTCCAGTTGTGTTTTATTTCCTTGCATTTCTCTGAAAGAAATAGCTTAATTCTCTATCCAAAATGCTTGTGTTACAGTACAGACTGTATGTTTATAAAACTGAACTGACTGAACTGATTTCCTATTAAAAATAGACAAAATGAAATAAATATACTCAATAGCAAGATATTTTTAAAGCACTGCTTACAGTTATAAAATACCTTTACTTACAATGGACCCTAAAATAAAAAAAAATGGTTTGGATTTTCACCCACCAGCATTCCTAGTTAATCATCCCATGTTATGGAAAAATTAATTGCTACCATCTGTGATCATTTACTATCAAACAGCATCTATGCACAGAAGTATGTCAGCACTAGGGAAAGTCCAAGGCACGATGCATGAAGAATCCTTTAAAAGTAAGACCAAGAAATATACTCAATGTCCTTATTTTACAATAAATATATATATTTATGGTGTGTATATATACCGTACATATGCTGGAGTATATATATGGAGTATGGGGAGCATATATACTGTACCTTTAATTTCAGTAACTGATTTTCAATTTGTGCTGTTTCGAGTTGCTTTTGTTTTTCTCTCAGTTTTTCCATAGATTGCTCATGTGTATGTTTTAAATTCCTTATTTGTTCCCTTATATCAGTATTCTCCAAAGTAACATCCACTAGAGTTTTCTAGAAGAAAGAAGCAAAGCACATATTAAAATCACAAATAATTGGGTGAACTAACATAGTCGAAACATTATGGCACAGATAGAACATTTTAAAGTTCCTGGATTTGTCCATGCTGTGGAAGAGCTTTGCAAGCATTTTAAATTCTTTTTTGTTGTTGTATTTGGTTTGCTAAAAAGTATTTCCACAAGGAATATGCTCACTGAAGTCAAGCCTTGGAACACTATGAACAAAGAAAGAATATGGATTAATTTCAGCATAAATGCTACTCCCAACAGTCCTTATTCTCTCCAAGAACCACTCCACACATATTAAACATACTAGACTGAAAAAACCTGTGGCATACAAGACGGCAGAAGCATGAGTTCATCTCAGCTACCTGAGAACTGGGAAGTCTTACGAACAGAAAGTGCATTCCCCTCTTTTGCCTCTCTCAGTGCATTTCACAGCTTTCTAAAACCTCACCAGTGTTCGGCATACGAACATGCCACATCCATTCCTACTAACAGGCAAAGGTACGAGTAAGTCAGGAGATGTACTGTTTTCTGCAATATAAGACAAACCACATTTTCAACTCAGATATTTCACTAAGACAAGGTTAGTGGCATTAGTTTTTTCTGCAGTTTAGTATTATTTATTTTATACTTTTTTTCTTGCCTTTTAAAGAACACAGTTGCTGGATATTTTTTATTTTCCTGTTAGCTCCTTAAATACACAGGGCAGTGTTTCAAGGGCATGTTTAATATTAGAATCTCTATTTGACATCCATGTTTTATGCATACATTCAAATTCATGTCAGGAAAGGCAACTGTCAGCTGTGAAACAACTGTTAAAAACATACCTGCAAGTCTATTGAAGCTGATGTCAAGGAGCTGTTCATTTCACTGAAGCTATCTAAGGCTGCAGCCTGCACTCGCACATGATTCTCTAAGGATTCCTGATGAGCGTTTGTCACCTAAGCAAAAAAAATAAAATAATGCTCGAGTTTGCCTATTCTTTTGAAGGAGCTACAAAAGGGAAACAACTATGGTGAATTTTCACAATACAAGGATGCTTAAAATATACAGGCCCCAAACTATCTCCTGTACCTCCAAAAAAAAAAAAAAAAAAAATATAACCTGTAATCCAAATATGCAAACAGAAACATGGCACAAATATTTGCATTTATTGCTAGCCTGTAATCCCTCTAACAACAAACAGAAACATGGCACAAATATTTGCGTTTATTGCTAGCCTGTAATCCCTCTGCCCCTTTGGGAGAAGTGAGTGAGAAGTAATGCGAGTCCAGAAAGTTGCTACATAGGGAAGGGGCTGACCCTGAGAAGTCAAAGGGTGGAGGCTGGGTGAAGGCAAGAAACGTAGGAGCCAGAAAGCTTTAGGTAAACTGCACCATGGCCTCGGTCACGAAAGAAATGATTAATCAAGTGTGTAAAGAGGCAAACATCAGGAAGGCTCAAGGATGAAAGAACATGAAGCAGGTAAGAGAAGTCAAATACAGAGCTTTGTTGTGTGACAGTTTGCCATGTCTGGTCACGTACATACATACACACACACAGAAAAAAGAGTGAAAAGAAGCACAACTAAGTGACCTAAGTTACAAGAAGTCAGAGATCCAAGTAATATAAACAATTATGAACAACTCAGCAATATATACAGAAAAATGTTAATAATGAAGGCCAGTCTGACTCACATTCTTGGAGCCTGATTTGTTTCTTAACAAAAACATACAAACACTAGGGACCAGCCTCAAGAACAAGCGGTGCACACTGATCGGAACAGCACAGGAAGCAGAAGACACTGGTAATTCTACATAAGCAGATCCTTATGCTAGAAGAAAAACAAAACCAAACCAAAAGCAAAACAAAAATGCTTTGGATGGATTAAGAAAGATGAAAGATAACAACTTGTAGAAAGAAGCGTACTGCCTAGGGCAAGATATCTGAAGTACAAACTTCAAAGAAACTTCATAAACAAAAAGTAGTCCTGCAAATTGACTGGAAAAACAATGTAGTGATCCAAACCCTAACCTGGTGTTAGACAAAGGAAAGAGCATAGAGAGGATTTTAAATAAGATTTTAAATATTTTTCCTTTTCATAAGGAAAATAAATCAATAAATAAGACAGATAGATATGACATGCAAAACAATGAACCAGAATCGTGTGAGAATTCATTTCAGTTCTGCTGAAGTAAAAAGTCTCTAGACTACACGGGAACAGTTATGCTGTTATGCCTTTGCTATAAGTAAATGTATACTTACCTTGAGTTCATTGGTAAGCTGCTGTATTTTTCGCTTCATTTCATCATATTCCCCATACATTTTCTTTCTTACTTTTTCCAGAGTTGCTCTCACCTGGTGTTAGACAAATCAAATATCTTCATCAATCAAACTTACTGATTATATTGTTTATACTGGGAATCAATATTTTTTTCTATATCCTTCATTGTTACTTTTAGTATTTTCCACTATTAAGCTAACTTTTGCCAAAAGTAATGTATGCTAAGAACTCCAGGATTTGTCTATACAGTGATGATGTGAATAAATATCTCCAAATAATTCTCAAATATGTTATACACATTTAAAGCTAGTAAACTAATAATTTAACAACAAATTTCAATTAAATTATCTGTTATTCATTCTAACCTAATTTGATTATATAAATTTTTCTGTCTGACTGGACTTTGAGACTCACAGCTGGCCAAACAATACATCGACCCAAATTCAGCAATGTAACTTCAGCTCTAGAACAAAGAGCAGAGTACTCAATTGGACTTCAATTAAGAACCATGGGTGTAAATGACACCTGGCCTTTCTAAATAAAGGCCTGCTGGAAGCCAGCTTGCGGTTGCACGCACTGCAAGTGTGCGCACGGCCAGCCTGCTGAAGAGAATGCACTGTAAACATGGTAGGTCAATGTTTGCTCACAGTCTGTCTTTCAGCCACACACTCAAATTCCTCCTTTTCCCTCTCTTCTGCCGGACTCAGCCTGACTGCAGATAATCTGGGACAGCGAGCTTTCCTCACCTCAGCAACGCCAAGGCGAGGTTCATGAAGGGACGAGGGGAAAAGCGGCCTCAGAGGGGATGTTTGTGGCAGCTGCACACAGGAAGAGGGGCGAGAGCCACCAAACTACGTGCTGCCTGGGGTGCGAAATGCAGCAGAAGGCCGCGCTCCTCATCCCAGCCTGCGCACGTGCCTGCGCTCTCTTTTGCGGGATGACTTGGCTGCAGAAGAAACTGTCAGCAGTGCTGACGTGAGACACCATTTTTGGTCTGCTGAAGAGGTCAGCACCTATGTGCCACGAGCAAGGGACTCTTATTTAAGACTCTGATGATCTCATGTAAGATGTGACTTTTCCAGCAGCCCAAGCCTCACAAGCTGGCCTGGCTGAACACAGCCTTCCCCAGGCAGCAGTCGGGGCTGCTGCTCAGCGCGGTTCCTCATTTCCCCACTTCTTGTAGGAAGCAGTGGTAGGGACGTTCCCAGCCGCGAGCGCAGGACCAAGAGCAGGGTGGCCAGGTTGCCAGCACACCGTGAGTAACACAGGGCAGGACAGGTGCTGAGGGCTGGAAGCTCCAGCAAATGTTTGGAGCTCCGATAATTACAGTCTCTTGTGCTGCTGGCCTGGCACCCCGCTCCTCCCTTCTGTATCAACACCGCTCTCCTATGCTTGAATCACTGTAATATGATAAGCATTGACCAATAGCTTCCAGGGTGGCAAAGGTAGGTGGAAAGAGAAGGTCAAATTATTTGCACTGGTTGAATTAGAGATTGCTGCCAAAGACTGAGAGCCAGAGCCTGACAGGTGAAGAGATGCTGAGTTTCAAGCATGGAGACCAGCAGCATCAGAGATGCATTTTTCCTTCAGCAGAACTCCTGACAGTTATAATAATATGAGCATGCACAGAAAAACTAGTACAAAGTCATCCTTATTAGGTTGACTATTTTAAGGCTGCCCCAAAGCACACCCAAGTGACTTTACTGTATCACCTAATTTGGGAGCTTTTTCTAAACTAGGATGGGAAAAAGAGGAAGAGGGCAGAGAGTCCATCCTCCCAGGAGTCTGCTTACAGTTTCTTCTGCATCAAATTTGAAATTATGAAGGCTTTGGCACAAGAACTCCAAGGCCTGTTTGGCAGTTTCCTCACACGGCTGCAGCCCAGCCAGCGAGCATAAGGAGCATCACTCAGCACAGAGGAGCTGAGTGTGGCACTTGCAGCTCCCAGGTATATAGCGTATTTTTAACTCAGGTGCCAGCAAGGCAAGCCTTTAGCGTCAAAGTGGTTTCCCAACTCAGAAGCAGGTGTTGGCCTAGACAGAAGCCATCCCACATACAGTCACAGCTCTACATGAATACAGGGAAAGAATACTGCACAGATTTTGAAGTTGAAACCATTGCTCACTTCTTTAATGTAGTTCATCTCTTCTTTCAGCTGATCTGCTGACCAGCCATAAACCACCATTTCTCTCTGATGGTTGTTGTCAGTTCGGTGCACAACCCCATACACCATCCCGTGAGACAGCTTCCCTGAAGACATGCCATTTGGTACATGATAGAGTTCCTTAAAAGCAAAGAAGTAGAAAATTATTTTTAAATCATTACCTAAATAACAACAAAAATACAGTAATGTAAGGCCAGGAGAGACAGTCAAGTTATGGCACTGCGTAGCAGTACCTAAAAACACTAGTTCCCAAATACTTGGGAACCAAACTGTCAACATTCTTATTTTTTGGAAGATCCATGATCACTTTATCACTGATGATACAAATGTCTTGCTTCCACCAGCTTTAATGGAAGTGATATATGCACAGCCAGGGGAAATGGGCTGCATCTGTGGAAAGGTAAAGGCACATAACAAGCAAGTTATCTTGGCTCACTTTCATTCCCCAGTATATGCTCCTTTTCTGCCCGTTTCTGGAGCACAGTTGGCTTTGATAGTTTCCTTTAACTCCTGCCATGGTGGAACATGGCAAATTCCTGCTTGGCAAAATATTAAAATTCACAGACTTAGTGAAACTTTCTAGAGACTTCTTGGAAGAAAATGGAAATGAATCTTCTTAAAAAATCCTAGGGTTTAGCAAGGTTTCATATGCAGACATCAAAAATATCTAATTGCCATATATTTATTTTGTTGATAGAGCTAGAATTTCAGAAGCTAAGGCCATCCAAAGTAATCCAATATCCATTTCAGGGCTACATTTCTCTTACAGAAGTTGCAGAATGGAAATGGCAGGAGCTGAAGTAGAGCTGTGAAACATGGCATTGGAGCAGGTGTTTGAATGTTATCAGAGCTGTCTGAGTTGTTGTAGAGACACAAAACTTTGAACTCTAGTCTTGATAGGTAAGTAGAAAGATAATTTTAAACCGTCTATCCGTATTTTAAGTGGTATGCTGGAATTTCTACAGCACAATTGTAATAACTGTATGCCTTATTTTAAGGTCTTTGCAACAGACTCCTCTTAGTACATCAATGAACTTGTTAAGAAAAATAATCATGCAAAAAGTAAGAATGGTCTCCCTTTGCATATGAATAAGTGTCTGCAAGGTCAAATGTAGCCTCCTGACCTGACTACTCCCATAGCCTCCCTTATAATCAACTGAGGGAAACATGTTTCTAGGACAGGCTTTTCAAACGAATCAAGTTGCAGAAATGCTTATTTATCAATCCTGATCACACAGGGTCTAAACAACTAGCTATACTACTTGGAGATATCCACGTTGTGTCTTTTAAAAAACAAATACAAAACTTAATTTCACCTAATTTTCAATATTTACAAACTGGGAACCTAAAATTAGTGATTATTTCTGTATATGAAGTCAAAAAGACAAAATTTTAAGAGCAGAGCCGTTAACTGCTTAACTTTGCATGCAGGAATAGTCTTGTAAAGGCTAATACTGAGAACAAGGCAATTACAGGTAGTTTAATTAATTTCCTTTCCCAATATTTACCAAACACAGCTAGGTACATTGGCCTTAGAATATGGGGGGATTGGGGGAAAAGCAACTCTTCCTTTCAAGAGCTGTTGTTCCTCAATAACAGAGTATGAACTCTCACAGTTCTCTTTGGGACTCTTTGCTAATTTAGCAAAGAGTCTAAGCAGTCTGAAAAATCTCTTTGACACCAAACAGATGCAGGAGGAGATCAAGTTCAACATCTTGTGTCCACTTTTGATCATATCCTATAGAGTCTCCCATCACTATGACAGAGGGTGAGGATGGTGCCTGCAGGCTAAAGCTCCTTTGGTTTTCAGAAGCCAAACTAGCATTAACTTCAGTGATAATGTGGGAATAAATATGTGGGAGAAAATGAATAGCAAAAATCCACTGGGATTAAGAAGCATGGGTAGCAATGGACATCTGTTTTACATGGTAGATGTTGAAGGAATGTTGTGTTTCTCCAGCAGGGCACTGACAGATTTTCTCAACACTGCAAAGCTTACGCTTTGCCCCTTGCTGTACCATTAAGGGCTTA